ACATAGCAGGGCAGGCTTAGAAGGACTGGGGAAAGGGAAGGTCAAACCTAAGCTCACCAACCTTACTATAATTTTGGTAGAAATGTAAGCTTTCCAAGCCATTGGGTACCTTCAAAGAGACATGATGTTGATGAAATGTCATGTAAATACATGTAAAAGACACTTTCATCTGTAATTATAGAGGCTGGGCTATGTGATCTCCTGTACCCTCTAGACGTGTCTTACTGACTACTGACAAATACACAGCTACAGGGCACCCTTAAGTTTAACTTGCAGTGAATGCTTAACCAATCTGTTTTTTCCATAACAGCTGGCTAATAATTTCATCATGTCCTTAAGAAATCATAGGCTGGCAATCTCAATTGCAATTAAAGCAGGGAAGCCTTTCCATCAACTTTTACAGACCAAGATTGGAGCCACATATTTAGAGAGGAAAAGGCAATATGCAGCTCAGTGGCAGATAATATTATGCACATATATTTAAACAAGGTAGTCTTTTAATTTCACCAAGTCTAAAAATAAACCTTTAATGCCTTCTAATTTAAAACCACACTTGGGAGCAAACCATCAGGAACTGGAGCTCCCTTCTCACTTCAGAATTTCCCACTCACCAGCTGACCTCTGTGATTTGCTGTGTGAGAGAAAGATATTCTGAAAATGACAACATTTTTGCTTTTGATATGGCAAGCAGATTTCACCTTATGGTTTGAGCTCCCACTGCATCATTTCTGCCTTCCCAGTTGTGTAGATGGCACAGTGCTCATGGGAGAAACAGGATGATGCTGCCAAGTCCCTGGCAGCATGAGCCCTTGGGATGTGGGTCTCTCCCATGCTGGCAGCATCAGTGGCTGATGGAACACACCTGGATCATGCCACCCATGGACAGCAGGACAGGAAGTGACAGAGCCTGCCTAACTCATCTGGTCACTGCACCTCACCTATTTTGTGTTCTGCCCATCCAAATCTGCATTAAGTGCCCGATAAGATGCTTTGAGTTAAGGAAAAAAAAATATATCCCTTTAAAGAAAAGGAATCTGGACTGGAAATGCACTTGATGACAAGTTGAGGTTTTGCTCTTGTATGTGTATTTATGAGCTTTGGAGCAATGTCTTTGTGCTTTGAGTCTTTTTTTTTTTTTTTTTTTTTTTTTTTTTTTTGGGGTGATTTTTTTTTTTTTTTTTTTTTTTTTTTTGGTAACAGGAAGCGGAATATTGATGAGGGCTGTGCCTAATGGGGAACTACCTGAATTTGTACAGCTTCTCTCCATCATAAGCTCTGACAGTTACATGAGAAATTTGTGACCGTATCTGAAAATGCTTTTTGTTAAACTTAACCCTCTCTTCCATATGAGACATTGCCTATCCTGCTTCTCATAGTTGTATCTAGGCCTACTAAACTCATTTGGAGAAATATAATAATACCAAGTCTATGTGATAGAGCCCTATATAACTTTAATCAGTCAGCATGTCTTTCTCCTACACCTATTTGCTAGCACAGTATATAGATACCAGTAAGCATGCAATACAAGATAAGCTATATTTTCCTTGCCATGCCATTCTAATACTACATGTCAAAATAGTTGCTATGTAAAAAATCTTGCATTTCAAAACTGTTAAGTTGAACAATTTCCATTTCCAGTACAAAGTCTTCTGTAGATGAATGTATGTTTGTGAAAAAGAACACTTTCACATTCAAATTAAAGCATAGAACTGTTAAAGATCAAAGTAGCTCTAACCATTTAGATTACTTTTTTGGTGGAACTAGAAAATTAACATGTGAAGAAAAGCATGTAAATGATGTGCAAATTATGTCACAGAATATCTTATAAAATATAATTTTTATAACTAAATCAAAGTGACAGGGAAAGGAAGACTTGTGACTTGGATTTTACAGAGAACTTACTGTTGGATAGCAAGCTGAATATAAATACTAAAGTAACATATGCAATTGCAGCAAGTATTTTAGTCAGGTGCAGCAGGGATCATTATAAGGACTTGTTTTGCAAGTATTTAACATTTTTGAATAATCTGAAAGAGAAGATTCATAGCATGCTATTTAAGTTCAGACAAGTCTAAACTGAAAGAAGTCACAAAGCATCAATGAAGACTGAGACATAATGTGACAGGATTGAAAGAAGTAGAAAAATAAAAAAGAGAAAATGAGATTCAAACTATATCTTAATTAAAAAATGCCCTACAAAGGAGAGAAGTGAGTTCGAAACAAACAAAGCATTAACACCAAAGGCGTAAGTGAATTAGATTTTGGTTGACATATAATGCAGAAACTTCACAGACTATTTTGTTCTGAGTGCTTGTGAAGAAGTCTGCTCCTTAGAGAGCTTATAGAATCTTTTAGGAACTCAAGGATAAAAGAAGTTTCCAAACATTCATTCATAAGGAAAAAAATACAATGGTTGCACTCAAGATCAGGCAAGTGGCAGATGAGGTTGTGCTTACATACATATATTTATTTGAAGAGTGTAAGGGCCAGAAAAAAGCTAAGACTGGAAATTACTACCTGGCAGAAAATCATCAGTGCAGAAAAGAATCATGATCTGGGATACTTAATGGTTCAATAGATCACTAGACATGTTGGTATAAAGAAATTTCTATCAGCCACAAGGATCAATGCAGAATAGCTTTTCTATCTCCTATATATTCTGTATGATTTCATCTAACAGTTAAAAGCAGTAATGTCTATTTAGAATAAGTTGAGTTTATTCCTAAATGTCATGGAGTGAGATGCAACTCTGCAGTGAAATTTAAGCACACTATGAAATATGAAATCAGTACATCCCAGGACTGCAAGATTGCAGCTCTACAGATGGTCCAACAATCCACAGCAGCATTAAGAGACATTTTCTACTTATTTTTAAACACTGAAAATATCATTTGCCTGTGCACTAATCCAAATATTTTATGGTGCATGTCTTCCAGTTGTGTCAGCTGATTTGTTATACCACATTATCTCTCACTATCTCCCTTACCTCTCTGCTGTAGGTGCCACAAATGACAGACCGCAGTATTTGTGTAAAATCATAGCAATTTAGGAGCCCTAGTTTCAATTTTAAAAGGAAAAGAGGTAAATCCCAGAGCCTCTGAATTTTGCTGTCAGCTCAGACACAGGCCATTTGCTATGTAGCGTTCTTTCTGCTCTGGGTTTTTTCCTGCTTTGTGTGTTTCAGAAGAGAATGAAAAACTTGGAAATGTGGGATGGATTTAGGGCAGGATGGTTTAGAGCTAGGAAAGAAAAAAAATGGGTGAAAAACTAAGAATGATGCATTATTTCTAAGTGAACCTGCAAGAGATAAAAGTTATCTTAAGTTAAAAAGATAAAACTTTGATTGTCTGAAGTCAAAAGGTCCCACTGACTTCAAGGCGATTCTTTGGCCGCTAAGGATATAGTCCTATGGCCATATTGTGTCTTTGCACTCATTTCTGTAACTGAGCACAAACCCAGATTCATAGACTATCAGAACTCTGCATTTCTGGACCTCCCCTGAGTCTCTCTAGAAACACTTCCCTTTGGTACTAGGTGTGAAGGGAAACAGCTCTTAAGGACTGTTTAAATTGCCTCAGCTGGTTTGCAGCAGGGTGATCCACTGTTGCAGGACTGAGGTATGCACAAGCCACATGTGAGTAATATTCATATGGCCATGAGAGCTGAGGGAGCAAATGTTCATCTCCAATCCTACACTGTGGGTGTACAGTTTTACTGGACAGTGACCTAGGCCAAATATGATAATAAAACAGGTCTTAATAAACAGAGTGCCAGAAAAGTTTAGCTTTCTCCTGGACAGTTTGTGACTAAAGCACAAAATATGTTATAGAACTACCTACACATGAGCAGGCAAGGGTAGAAAACATGCTATCAATTTTAGCCATAACTTCATTTTTTTACTAGATAGCAGCTACTACTACATATCCCACTACTGTAATCTATACTGAGGGGAGGCCACATCTCCAGTCCTCAGTAGGTCTGAGCACAATCACACATTTACAGATCTCAGTACATCCATGTACATGAGACAGCAAAGTTAGGCCAGAACTATAGGGCTTTTTCATTATTTGAAATGAATTAATTTGTTAAGAGTGCTCTTGAAGATGACTTTTTGCCTTCTTTTTTTTTTTTTTTTTNTTTTTTTTTTTTTTTTTATTAAATTCAATTAACAAAGTGTTACCCTTTGATTAAGTTTTTTTTTTTTTTTTTTTCAGCATATTTCACTTGTCAGGTACCTGATTAGGATGCCAACCTTTGTTCATGTTATTTCTTTGTAATGGAACTAGTACTTCCAGTGGCTTTGGTGAAATACAACTGGAAGCATTAGATGAATAGAAATCCTGCTTAGACAAAAATCACCGTTAGTCATTGAGTTTCTAACAGTCTGACTTTATAGTGAGGTCTCTGTCAGGTGTCAAAAATGAAAGCAAGGGACAGGCTCTCCAAGGCCTTCAGGCAGAGAAGGAGGGATATCCACAGAAATACATTCAGAGTTTGAGCACTTTATGAATTTAGTGAGCTTGCCCTGCATTGACATCTGTGCAGCCAAAGTAGAAACTGGTACTTTTTCACAGTAAGTACCCTAGAATTAGCTGCCATGGGGATTCTGGGTGTCGACAAGAATATGGATGGTTGGCTGAAGAGATCATTTAACCCTGCCAGTAATGAGCTCATTTGAAACAAGCCCCTTTCTAATTATCACTTGGTTATGATTGATTCATCACCTGCTTTGATGCTCCTATTTAATAAACAGAAATGAACTGCTGGGTTTAAGAACTGCATAATTTTCAGTAAAAACAAGAGCTGCCTTAATATTATGTCAATTAGTTCCAGACTGGTTTTCTTTCCTGTACTCTCCGTATGTGTGTGCACACACACATGTGAACATGTAACTATCGTGTACCTGTGTATGGAATGCCTGTATGACATTTTAATGAAGACAGCACTGGAGCTTAGCTTATAGATACACATTACACTACAGGAATGAGAATTTTCCTTACCGATTTCACTCATGGATATCCCTGGAGCTAACTGCCCGTTGCTGAAAGAGCTATAGGTAAACAAGTTTGGTACAGAGGTGAGGTCATAGATAGGTTCCTGCTTTATCTGTTTGATTCCAGTCATGTCTAACCCAGACTGGTCTGGGGAGGGCTGGGCAGAATCCACATTGTAGTAGCCCTCAGACTTCGGCAGATCGATGACATGCCCGTTGGAGTAGGTGCTGCCAGTTTCGTTATTCAGATTGTTCAAGCCATTGCTGATGCTGCTGCTGTAAACCCTGGTGAGAGCATCTGCCTCACCATTCTGCTGCTGCCGTTGCTCCTGCAGTCGCTGCTGGTGCTTCTGCACTTCAGCATACAAGCTATCCCTCTGCTTTTTGGACATTCTTCCAAATTTCACAGCTGAAAAGCAAAGCACAATGGTAACCATTGTCATCTTTAGATTTTTCTCGATTCTCCTCAACCCTTCTTAATTCTGGTATTAACTTTCAGGGTTAATTTTGCTGTGGAAACACCTTTTTCTGTGGAAATGAGAAAGGATGTAAAGCTTTATATCACATACATCTCATAAACGAAAACATATTGCATACTTGAATTTACCTGGTGACAACAATGACTCCTATTTGACAGGAGGGCCTCACTCAAGCAATTTGATTCCCACTATGAATGTTAAAAAGACCATGCATCCTTTTATATCTCTCTGTTCACTGAACAACTACCCAGAGCTGTATGAATTGTGCAGTCTATAAATTCATATCCATTTACTAATGTTCTGCAAACCTTTACACAGTACACTAGCAAGATTAATATTCTGGGTGAAAACATGCCCTAAAGTGTATTATCACATCCTTTAAATGGGGGGGTGTTATCTTCCTACTTTAAAAAAAAGATCTTACAGGTTAGAACCTAGAGGAAAATAACAAATTTGAAGGTAAAGAGCACAAATAAATGCCATCTTTTCCACTAAGCAAAGTCTTAGGGATTTATGCCATCTCCATTTTAATAATCTTCATGCACAAATCCATACACTCCTTCTGATGAGAAAGGGAGGAAAATAAAAGAGGGCAAACCATTTTCCCCAGAAACAGGGTACACTACATTGAGATTAAAATTTTCAAAGGTGACAGGCTGATTGCTGTGGAACAAGAAGGAGTAAATTCATAGCCTGTATATACAGTAGATCACAGCTGATTATCACTCTCCACTCCCCTCTTTCTACAAATTCTGGTCTTTTACTGGGCTAGATCTTGGGATCTTAGAGCAGAGGCAGCTGTTGATTGTGCTTTAAAACAATTGAGAGGTACATTTAGCAGAATTTGTCAGAACAGGTAAGGGGACATAGCTCCAGAAATATAGACTTCTATGTATTATGAAGTGTGTTTTCTGTTCTGTGTATTTCCAGTCCATCTGAAATTTGGGTCAATTCAGATTCATATGTATTAGCACATGATTCTCATTTAGCCTTTGAGAAGAGTTTGACTTTGTAGGTGTATAAGTATGAAATTCTTCAATCAGGAAAAAGAACAGAAAATGTAGACCATATTATGAAAATACAGTGCCACCAGACCACCACAACAAGGTGTTTTGATTTATCTTCACTTTTTCACTTTTTTTTTTTTTTTTTTTTTTTTTTTTTTTTTTTTTTTTTTTTTTTTTTTTTTTTTTTTTTCTTTTTCTTATTACCAACCTCAGTTGTTTAGCTGCAGCCCTACGCTCAGGCTACAAGCTACAACTCACAAACTCAGCCAGCCCCTAGAATCAGTTCATGGTATGCTGCATACCCGTATGGACAACATACAATGATTGTATTTTAAATAATTTTGAATTATGCAACTGTTTATTTTCTTCAAATTTAGGGCCTCAGCAATAAAACCAATGTTTATCCTCATTATATATTCATTAATTGGATTCTCCAGCTGCTGTCAATTAGCATCCTGCCTCTGCATGATAAAAATGCACTTATTACATGGCTGAGAGGTAAAAATCAAATTAAAGATTTCTGTCAAAAAATTCACACAGCCAATTTTAAATTTGCAAGAGCTCTTAATATTCTTAATCCTAAATAATCATAAAGACCCTTACATCAACTATGAGAGAACAAAGTGATGCTGTTGGAAGAATCACTCATTTTGTCTCTCTGCAGTGGTCTCTGAATTATTGGTTGGGAAGACGGCACTGTCAGTCACATTAAAATGCCTCTGTCATACCTTAAATCATTGGAAGATACTACTTTCAGAAGGAAAGTATGTGCTGTTAAATTGTTGAAATGTTACTTCTTTAATCACTGTGAAGAATTAGGACCTAAGGTGTCAAGTAAACTGGATGGTAGGACAAAAAGAATTCATGGATTAAAGGCCCTTCCCAGGTTGATGAGACTGGTAAACAAGTAACTTCAGTAAGATATAAGACAAACTGAGGGTTTAGATGGTCTCGATCATCCAAACAATCCAACAATAACTCAATGTAAAAATATACAGTTTGTGTCAACCTTTTAAAAGAGAAAATTGCTTCAAAGAAAACGGAATTAATAAAAACTGCTTAAAAAAATTAGAACATTTCCCTCTAATACTTTCTCACTATATAAAATATGTTTTTGAGCTGGATACCCCCTGCACAAGGAATAGTGCCCCGGGCATGTCAGCTGTGGGCAGCCTTGCCCAAGCCACCCATTGCCTACAGCTTTGGTGTGATGCATGTTCTCAGCCTGCTGATATAAGCTGATCACATTACAGTTTGAAAGGTGCAGCAGAGCTTTACAAGGAGCACATGATCCTGAGATGGCATAGACTGTGGAGCTTTCCACTGCTCTAGGATCCATTTTCAGTGCCAAATTAGGAAACATCCTTTTATAGATCCTTCTATAGTCTGGACAGGAGGCAGTATGCAAGTAAAAGACATGGGGTTTCTTCAAATGCAAAATATTTGGTCAAGTGCACTGAATAAAACAAACAGAAACACCCAATGCTACCAAGGTGCAAATTTGTGTAGAGTTATACCTCCTTACTACCAGTTCTTTAGAGATCTCAGGGAAATGGATGCTTTCACACATCAGTGTTAAATGTTAAGATAAATGATGATGTTTAATGTAATATTTAATATAAACCCACCTCTTCAGAGGTGACCTTTTTTGTGCTTTTTGTGCTTTTGATTAGAATAATATATTTAACTTCTGAGTCCTTCTGCTCTAAACTAATAGCGCTCCCCATTTTGTGATTTTCCCCACCCCTCTCAATGAAAATAGCCTTCTTTGTTAACCAGATGGCAAAGATCATCTCACAGCACATGCATTACAAAGCACAGAGCTTCACCTCTCTCTTTTTGCAAAAATCTGCAGGGAGTTTAAGTAAGTCAGCAGTAAAGAAAAGTTTCAAAGGGCTTAGATGTGAAGCACAAATTTGACTCCTTACCATCTCGAGACATTCCCAGGGCAAGACATTTCTGCAGTCGGCAGTGTTGGCAACGATTTCTGTTGGTTCTGTCAATTAAACAGTTTCTTTGTCTTGGACAGGAATAGGATGCATTGTTCTGCTGACTCCTCCGAAAGAATCCCTTGGAGCAAGAGAGCAGGGAAAACCAAGTATTATCATGAGTGTATTTATGTGCGTGAGCATGCATGCAGACAGACACACACACACAGAGAAGCATGCAAAAAACTACAGCAAACCCCTATTTAGTGCACTGCTACTTTTTCTGTGGCTCTGCAGCTATGTTGGTATTGTATTAAAGAGCATTTAATTATAATAAGGAGAACTCTGTACTGTTCTGTAAAGAATATAATTCTGCTTTGTTAAAACCGAAGTTATGTTACAGAATGCATTTTTACTGTGCAATAATGACACTGTATCATCTAATACTTGCTCCTAATAGAGGAAAAACTTGTCAGCATTTGTGAGAGATGACTTCAAAGTACTTGTTTTGACATTTCTCCCTTTAATGAAGAGACTAACTGTAACTGTAGAGGTAACTGTTACTGGGTACACATAGCATGAGAAGCTGAAGTCTGCTGTTCACTTCAACTTGGAAAATGTTGATCTGATCTGGAGAGGCATATGATTCAAGAGTGAAGTAATTAAAATTCAGCCTTCACAAAAGCACTAGGATATAATGACTGTATCAAGTAAAGCCAACACACAAAGGAGACAACAACACCTTTAGGTACTACCATGAGAATGTAATGGCCTTTTCCAAGGGCTGTTTGTCTAGAATCTTAGGGCTAGAGGGGAAGTATACACACCTAGATCATTATGAGCTTCCAGCTGCTATGAGGTAGTGCCAAGAGCAGCACCAAAATGTACTGTTATGGTAGAAATGACATGAAGCAGCTGAGGTGACATGAAGAATGAAACCAGGGGGAGGGGAAAAGAAACAAAAATAAATAGATCTATACCAAATAAATTAAAAAAAAAAAAAAAAAAAAAAAAGTCTGGAGCATCTACATGTCCAGAGGAGGGGGGGGATAAAAAAAAGTAGAGAACTCCCCTAGCCAGTTTGGAAACTTTAAATGCAAACAGCTGCAGGTTGTGGTGGGAAAGTTGAAGGATAGCCTGGCCACTGGCTATGAGTAGTAAACCAGCAGAAGTATTACTGCAGTTACACCAGTCACCAGAAGTGACACCAAAGTACTTGTGCCCTTCTGGGGTAGCTTGCAAACACCTTGGAATGAAGCCAGAAAGCAACAGCTGACTTCATCAGGAAAATGATGAAAAATATCAGGAAAACAATAGTGTATCTCTGCATAGGCTGATGGAGGCTAATACTGAGCAATGGACAAGGTCATAAGGTGGCAGGAGGCTTCAGCTCATTTGCTACAGCTTATACATGAATTCTCGCTCAGGTCCTGGCGTGCTGAATGAGGGTGGTGTGGGGTGTCAGTAACAGTGACAGGCATGGTGTTCCACCAAAGACATTGCCACTGCTACTTCTTGAAGTTGATCCATTTGAACTGGGTCAAGCTTGTTCTATCAGTGATTATAGTGTATCTAAAATATAAATTGAATTTTATGATTTATACTTTCCAGAAAATAGATATCCTTTGAGGAAACTCTCAGAAAAATTCTGGTGGAAACTTAACTGATCTTAGCTGTCCAAAATTTTCCTGATATGGTAGAGCTGCCTTTAATTTAAGACTAAATGGATACTAATTGCAGATGTCATTGCTGAACTTTATAGCCAATCTTGGTTTTGATGCGGGTTTTCTGTTTTAACTTTTATATTTTAGCAGAATCTATGGATTTCGGAGAAAAAAATAATTCAGTAATGTTAAAAAACCACACTCAACCATTTAGCATTGACAGTGCTTTCTCCTACAGTACTTCTTGTTCCCTTTAAGGTTGATCTCATCTCAGAGGAATTTGTTTCATCTTTGCCCTCCTTAGGAAAAAAGGACCATATTATGTATCAAGGGTTACATAAGAGAATTAATTTAATCAGGTTTTTCTGAGGAGAATTTTATGTTCTTATTCTCCTGCATAAGATCTAAATGTTGTCTTATAAAATAGATATAATCCTCTCATTTTATATTTATGGTATCTTTATATAGATTTGGCTACATTATTTTACATTGGAACAATTCCTTTTTTTTTGTGAAGGAAGATGTATTTCATAACTGAGGAGCTAAAGAGTTAAAGACAGATTTCCCAGTACTTCCAACATGGACAACAAGCCTTTGAACAGATCACTTCATCTACCACCTACAACCAGTCTGAGAAAGGAAATCACTGAATGAACTACTTTCTAATTCATGACAAAACACTGGTGGAAACTTTGCTCTGGGGGGAAGGCACAAGAAATGATAAAAGGCTTCTTAGTGAAGAAGCAGCCACAGAGATAGATGTGATGAAAACTTATCTCCAGGTTTCACCCTTTCTGTAAGAATAGCGTCAGACGTACTCAGCAGGTCCAGCATGTTCACTGCACATGCACATTCAGCATAAGGTAGGCATGCATACAAACCAACAGCAGTATTTCAGATGACCCTTAAGCACTTAGAATATGGATCTGCTGCAGCACAGCTAACATAGCAACACTGAGTTAAAGGATCTTCTGCTCCTTGAAGTTTGCAGCACTGCCACTGGCATCGTAATTTTTGGATGCAGCATCCTGAAATGCTGTGGCTGTCTGGTGCCTGGCTCAACATGTGTGCATGCTTGTGGAGTGATTCCACCCCAGCTTCTTCCACTCATGGCCTCTATTCTTAGTCATTTCAGGTTTCCAACAAACTGAGACAAAAAGAGCCAGAAATGACCAGTATGCAGGCTGAGAGAATAGCTATTTAAATGCTGGGCACTTAAGTGGATAGCAGAGCTGCACTGGCAGAAACAGTGCTTACCTTAACAGGGCGTTCTGACAGACTGGGATGCCTCCCAGTGGAACTGACATGAAAAACTGACACCTTTTCTCACACAGGCTCACAAAACAAGATTAGACTAATTGATCTGATACAGCAAAATTGGCACAAACCCAATAGGGTTAAAATTTATAAGTGGAAGAGAATCTCTTTATCTCAATAAGCAGTCTACTCACAGAGCATAGTGGTATCATCTCCTCTTGAGGCACACACAAGGGCCAGCATTAACCCTAATTACTTCTATGGAAGACTATACCTCTAGACAGTCTGTGGACTCTGAGTACTGGGAGAAGATGCTCTTTTTTTGCTTAAAGTAATTTTCTTCTGTAGCTTTTGTGCCAATTTTGAAATATCAGATCAATTAGTTTAATCCTGTTTCATGTGATCATCATAAGAAGATGCTTATTTCTAGGCCAATGTCACAGTAAGACAAAGGTACACTGCAAATTGTTCTGCTTCCAATTGTCAATGTTCCTGAAAAACCCTCAGTCTTTACCAGTATATTGGTTCTCAATGTACTGGCATTAAAGTATTTATTTTGCAGATGGGTGCACTCAAATTTTCAGATTTTTCAGCTGTTCTAATACTTTGTACAGCTTGCAATTTCACACTGCAAATAGGCACCCATTTTCAAACATCCTAGTTTGTCTTCTATGTGCCTCCACATAGAAGAAATCAGAGATGCTGCCTCTCTATCTTTGCAATTTCCCATTTAAAGTTAAAATGGAAATACCAACATGGAGTATGAAACTCTGGTTTGTCATGAGTAATAATGTAATTCCTTAGATAATAAAATCGCAGACAATTTTTACAATTGAAAATTGAAGCCTTTCTTCTCTTTGCTTGGGTCTGATCTGTGTTCTTTGAACTAATGCCTGAAAAAATATGTTGATATGTCTAAACAGCAAGTCTATGCACTTCCCCCACTCCACCCCTTTTTTTAACCTCCAATTCCCAGCAACTGCTCCCTCACTAATGCCTTTAAGGAAGAAGACAAAGAATCCTTTTACACTATTCATAATGTAAGTCATTCTTTCTTTTTAAGATTACAATTTGGTCTGCAGATTGTGCAAAAGGAGATAAAAAAGGACTTAGTCACACCTGTAAGCTCTTAAAAAAGGCTGACCAGCAGTAACATGTTAACTGTAATGCTACCATGGGTTGTATAGGAAGCCAGGTAAGAAATGCACTTCTTTCAAAGCTGATTTAAGGTAGATCAGGTGTGACTTACAGCTGCCGGCCTCTGTTGGTGTCAGCACTTACACTGCACCAGACGTAATTCATTCATGTTTCAAACAAGGACGTATTTGATAAAATGGAAAGCAATTGGGAAAATGAGACATGAAATGCATCTTTATCATCAAGAAGCTCTACAGCCTTTGGCACCACTTGTTTGAAAGCTTGTAAGACTGTGTCATTGTACAGAGGTGCCTGAGGCTAATGCAAATGATGATGACTGTGTTTTATTAAAATCTCATACCTTGCAGCCTTCACATGTGATAACTCCATAGTGTATTCCAGAGGATTTATCACCACAAATTTTGCATGGTATCACTTCAATTTGTGCTGAAAGAGAAAACAAAACAGATATTTTGGGTATATAATTGTATTTAATTTCTTTTTTTCTCAAAATGAAATCTTTAGAAATAGAGAGTAGATAACCAGTTGAACCTCAAAAATAGAAAAATACTTTGTATTGTATGTCTGTTTCTGAATGCTTTCATTTGGCAAATTTTAAATGCTTCACATTATGTAGCTTCTGCCACATCCTACAAAACTCTTCAACATTTTAAAATGTCTCACAATTACTAAGTTTCTTTTCATGGTCCTTTTTTTAAAGTTCATTTTTTCACTGGTTAATTTTATAATTATTACTGCTAATGACAGTCAGTAGGAGTCCTAAACAATAATCTGGATTGTTCTTTCCTACATACTTCAGATATTTGTGACTTTCCATTTTTCTAAGGTAGAAATACAGGGTGTGCTTTGATGCCCTTTTAAAAGCAGAGTAGAGATGATGAAGCTTTCACTTTCTTCTAATTACGTTCAAGACATGAAGATACTAATACCACTGTCAGAGACAGGCTGGTAAAAGCTTGCTTAATCTTCCTCTCTTCAAACTGCTTGTTCTAACACTGGATCGCTGGCAGGCAAGGCCCACTGATGGAGTTTAGGTAGCCAGTGGCTGTGTATTGGGAGAGTCAGGTGTAGTCTGAAAAATGTTTAAATATAGATGTGCTTCAGATCCTTTTATAAACACAGTGGTCATTTGATTATGAGAAGGAAAACACATTTCATTATCTTTCAAAATTTTTTTTTGCAACTGCTTGATTCTCTCAATTACTGTGAATCCTGTATCTTTCCTTTGATGATGCTGTAAGAGCACATACTTAGACATGTAAGGAAAATCTGTGCCTTTATTTAAGTCAAATGAATTGAGAAGAAATGTTAAACTTATTTTCTCTCCCATTTATTTGTTCTTCTGTGTAGGATGCATGCCTCCCTGCTATTCTCCTCCTACTTGAAAGCAGCATCACATTTGCAAAGTACTCTCGGTAGATGTTGTTTCTCCATGCTCAGGGCAGGAACAGCAGCAGTTCTCTGCAACTCAAGTCACCCATCAAATCTTGGGTAGAAAAGCTTTTTTAGTAGAGTTAAGCCCAAGCACAAGGATACGTAACTGTAGTACTTTTAGTAAGACACATTTAACTCCAAAATGGATTGAGACATGGAAACAAGATTATTGTCCAGATGCTAATCCTAAAAAGAGCATCCCATTTCAAACTTGTGGGCTGCTGAAAAGATTAAAAAAACTGGAAAAAATGTATGCTTAAAAATGTCTGCACATTTTAGCTAAGCACTAAATATGCTCACACAGTGGATACTGTGAAAATGTAATCATATAGGCCTGGATTATGCCCTGTTTCTACTTATGATTATCATTTGTCTCTTTTAGCAGAAGCCAGAAATTTCCTTCCTACCACTTCCTTCCTCCAACCACCTTGTAGCTAAACAACCAAAAATCAGTCCTGTGTCTCAGTGAGCCAGCACCACACTTCCCACTGAAAGGTGCTTTGCATACCCTACTCCTTTATCCTCCTATTTAGGGTAGAGGCTTTTAGGGTAAACTGCACCAGGTGAAAGCCTAGCAGGCCCTCTACTTTGGAAAGTCAATTAACGATTCCCTTGGGACAGCATAGTCCAAGGGACCGAGGCAAGAGGAACTTACATGCATGGCTGAAGAGACTTTAGCTCCCCACTGTGAGCTCATTTTCCTGACACACTCTTTCTGATCTAGCATAATTTTAGGCCCAGGCAAGCAATTCAGTTTTAAAACTGCTCCTAATCCATGTTGTACAGAGGGAACTCCTTAACAGAGAAGCACATTCAGCTCTTTGGAAATTTTTCCAGGATGCTCCTGCTCATAAATTCCTATGCCTTATGCCTACTGGGATAAAAAAACAAAACCCCTTAAACATGTGCCTCCAGGCACTGTTGTTTGTGAGGCTACTTTGGGTAACTGCTCAGAGGTCTCTGCTTGAGAGTCAGCGGATGGAGAAGTTGCAGCTCTGGGACCATGTGCTGCTTTATGTTTCATTGACATATGTCAATGTCAGAGGCAGGAACTACAATGAGAATAGAAATAAATCTGCAGGAAAAGACAAGGCAGAGGAAAAAAAAACCACCACAAAAATATCAAGGTACTTTTAATGTGACTTGCATATACCATTTGTAACTCTGATAGGAAGAGAGAGAGAAGACACTGCTTGCATTTAGCACAGTACATTTTACTATAAGCAAATAATAATTTCATGCATGAATCTCAGTTTTAAGGTATACATTCATGGTATTGGTGGATCAAGTCCCTAAATGCTAAGGCTTTTTGTTTCAATTAATATTAGAGTCGTGACTCTTCAGTTAATTCAAACCTTCATTTGAAAATAACCATTCTATAAATTAGTAAATGCAGGTTTGTCTAGGAAATTGCTACCACTTTTCCTTACTAGAACTCACAGAAAAAATATCTTTAGGACACAGAAAGCACTTGAGTAAGTTTGGAAAAGTGTATTTTGATGCTGTCCCCAAAATTTTTTTTCATAGAACAGAAGAACAATTTCAGTATTCTTAACAGAAATCTTGATTGTACAGATAAAAAATAAGCCACTGTATTCCCATAAGGGTCTTGAGACACTGTAATAAACATAGAGCATACCATGTTTCTTTTGCAGATATAATCACAGGTCACAGACTGCAGAATATTCTGAGTTGAAAGGGACACACAAGAATCCTCAAGTTTAACTCCTAAATGAGTGGACTGTATGGGGATTGAACACACTGTCTTGGTATTAGTAGTTGACACAGGGTACTACACTTCTTTGCACATTCTGGTTTTTTGTCTACCTATGATCCTATTTTTTTTACTTCCCTCACCTATTAAACCAGCAAACAGCTCAGGGAGCTGTATATCTGACTCTCTTTACAGCTATTATAAAATATGCAGCTTTCTTCTGAACTCTTTAAAAATATAAAATGCACTGACAAAGTGCCACTTCCTAAATATTGAGGGGAAAAATTGAGTGAACAAACAATAGTGGATTTGCCACAATAATAACTTTCACCAGGACAGGAACAAAACTTGTATGTAGAGAAATCCCAAAGTAATAAACATAAGTAGTAATTACAGCAAAACTACTCAGCTCCACTTCAAAAGTCTTCACACTTGGCTTCTCATCCATTTTTATTCTGATGCTATGAGCAAGAAAAATGCCTCCTTCTTCTTTTCACACAAGCCTCAATCTGAGCCCACTTGTCCAATTTTTCAGTAAGGACATTGAGATGTACCACTCAATAAAAGCCTGCAGAACTACTATCACCCTAATGTCTAAGAAAACATTTATAATATTTGGATATATGTGGCACAGTGATTGCCCCCTACCACCAGCTGTAGCATCCTTCCTCAGTACCACAGGGTCATGTCTCTGCATTATTCATATCTTAATTTACACTTAAGCTTAAAATTCTTTAGGACAGGAAACTGCCTCCAGTTTTATGGGATAGTCTAAAAATTGTAATGCTACAATGGAAATTAATTAATTCTACATGACTAGTAAGTCTAATCCACAGATTATGGGATAACAACCTGGAATCTAATTCATTCTCTCATGAAAACAGAAAATTAAGGTGGAATTCTATCAAGGAAGCAAATTCAAAATTGTCTCACATATTTTAAATGAACACTTACCTATAAACAATTTGGTAATTAGAAACATCTTCAAACTAAATAACATCTCAAATGCACTGCAAGAAAAATCAAAAGTACACTGAGGTGCTGGTTTTTTTTTCACCAATAGAATATTTACACATGGACATTAAAATCCTAAAGGAATTAAAATAATGAGGTTTCAAAAGTTGTTATATGGGCGAAATTAGGGATTATTCTCTAATGGGAGACGGTTTTCTGAATTCCTCTTGGAAGGAAGGTAAGACTCAACAAGGCATGCGCCAGGTGTGTATTTGTGGGGATTGTCACTCACATGCATATGATGTCTAATAGAGAAAAACAAAGCTGACATTTTATATAATTTTGGTTTAATATCTGAAGAAGTTTACTTGGGAAAGACAGGATTATAATCTCACAGATTTGTAGTTTTGGTTTAAGGGGAAATAAAGACTTGAGCTTTCAGTATTTAGTTCTTGATCAAAATATGATAATTAAGCGTGCCAGACAAAAACTTTGAATAGGAAGTCCTTTCTCCAAATTGTAGATCTAGGAAAGATTGTACTTGGAAACATCAAGGCTAATCAGAGAACTGATAGTGAAAAAAATGAGCTGTTTCACGTTTCAAGAATTCCCATCATCCTTTTCTTAGAGATCCTAGAAAATTGCTAGTAGATTGGCCTAGTTCACTTTCATGTTTCTATTCCTAACTGATTTCAAATTAAGTACATTCAGCATTTTTATCTACTTGCCAACTCTGCCTTTTTTATCCTGACCTCTGTGAGCATGAAATGCTTTTTGTCCCTGCATGTAACTGTCAGTAGAAGTTTCCACGGAAAGTTAGGCTGGCAATGAAATCTTGGCATCCCCTTTGTTGCTGGAATAGATGTTCTCTAGCTTCTCAGCAAGACCTCAGGTGCTTTGCATTTAATAATCTGAAAATATACAGCTGAGGATACTACTTATGTTTACAGCATCTATCATACCTCATGCAGTGAGACCTATATAATTAGTAATATCTCAGCAAGTTAATTAATTCCAGATAATGTTAATTAATGTCTGTAGATACATTAGCTGTCAATCATAACTGAAAATAGCCATTAGAATAAACCAATATGGTGCAGTTAACCCAGAAAAGTAATGTTTTCATAAAATCTTAGCACTTTTGGACAGAGGTACATTAAATTCTGACTGGATTTGTTATAACAATAGAGACTCTCTGAAAAGCTGATGGTTCTCAAATAAACCAGTCCTACTTCTCATGAGCACAGATATATAAATCTCAAGAACCACCAGTTCTTGTATATCTCTGTGTCTCACTTGGCAGAGATATTAGATGTCATCTGTA